AAAGATCAGCACCTCCTGTTGTTAAGGGTGGATGATGTGGCTCTTTAATTTCCACTTACTTTTATTTTTCTTTATCATATTTGTTGTTGAGTTCTTACTGTCCCTTACAAGGCCACAACAATCACAAGAATCTTACTGTACGTGTAACGACAGATAGCATTATGAATATGCAAAAAATAATGGAAAAGTATGGCTTCCCACTTTTAGCCTTATTGGAATTTTGCAGTCTTATTTAATTATTTGCTTGGAATGACGACGGTATTTGTATTTCCGTCCCCTCATCCCAGGGCCGCCTCTAAAGGAGTAACAATAAAACAGTTGCCTGGGGCCCTAAATTTGAGGGGCCTCTTTTCTTTTTTTGGTTTTTTTAAAAAATTGCGTTATCTATTTTTTGAAAAAAAATAAAATTTATCACATAATTTATATATTGAGTCTGTTATAGGATTTACTTTGGTTATCCACTTAACATTAAGGGTTGGAAAATAATTTTGAAAGGGTTCGATAATCCCCCTTTAACTCAAAATCTTGAAACGATAATCTTAATAATTTAAAAAAGAAAGTTTGTTACTTCCTCCGTTTTTTTTTTTTTTAAAAGAGAATATTTTTGACTTATTCTTTCATACTTTTGGCACTACATTCATTGATAAAACTTGATTTGCAAATCACTCAAGGAATAATATGACTACAATCAGACCAAATCAAGTATAATAAACGTGTATTGCATTGTAGTCATATTGATAATTTGCTAGTAGAAACAAAAAGCGAATTGTCAAAAACTTTGTTTTGCATTTGTTAGCCCACAAATCATATACAATTATTAAGATTATGTTTCACATAAAATATTGAATTTCGATAAAACAAATTAAATCAAGTTACTAATTTAATTGAAGCAACTATTACCTTCGTTTAACGCTATTAGCAACATAAATTTTTCTCTTTAATGATGTCAAAATAATAGAAAAAAATTTAAATATTTATTTGTAAAAGACGAAACTAAAATATTTTTGTGGATGAACATATTGTGCTTCACTTTTTAATAAAACGCCATATTAAGTTGGAGAATATAAAAAATTTCAGATGAAATCATTTTGAACAAATTTGCACCCATTTGAAGCAAATAAAGAGAAATTCAAGATTGAAAAAGGTTAGACTGTTCTTATTGTTGGATTGAAGGATTATGGATTCATCCATGACAATTGAAAAGAAAATATTGGATCAGACAATTAGAAAATTATCCACTTGTAAATCACTTTACAAAATGAAATATTTTATGCAAATCAAATTTTATCAAGAACGTAATGTTAAAAGTACAGGAAAATAAATAATGCTAAAAAAATTCTCCTAAAAATTAATTATTCCTGACTTTTTCTTTTGATGGCAATTACTCATATTTTAAATTAAAAAGGGGTTACCGTTTCCTTTAAATAAAATTGACTCTCAAATAAAATTTTCATATAAAACCAAAATAATTATTTTGGACGAGGATTAAAGTAATATTTGACTTGAAAAGTATCTAATGTATGGATTAAAAATGATCGACAAATGAAATGATTATTTTACTTTACACCTCTATTATTGAAAATAGCGTTCTCTTCCTTTATTTGTTCAAATTATCATTTTTCTTTTCCATACTTTCTTTTTATTCTCATTTTCCTCAGAGTTCATAGTTGAATAATTCAAAGCTGTAAGCTTATACTTTTACTGCTCTATAAGAAACATAGTTGAAGAAAATATACTTCATGTTTCAAACTTTTAAAAAAAAAAATCTTTGAAATAATCAAAAACTTTTGGAATCAAGTCTTCACATTTTTTTGAATTGGGTAATATGATTAACTGCTACGATCTTCTTCGTTTAGATTTGTTTGTCTTTATTTTTTATCTGTTTCAAAAAGAAATGTCTTTTTTTTTTTTGGCTTAATTTGTCTTTAATTAATTTTTACGTGATATGTTTAAGGCTAACGAGATTAGTCTTTTTATTTTTTAAACTCAAGCGTCGAAATTAAACGGAAAAACAAATTGAAGAAAATGAAGTATTAGCTTTGGTGTTATATTTGTTATTTGACTTTGTAGATAGTTTTTAAAATATTTATTAATTTAACTTTAGACCGCTAAAATACTTTTAGTAGATCAAGATAATAAACAAACTACATTGATCATAATAATTATATCAAGATTAAGACCATAAGTACATTTAAAGATCTAAAGAAGTTGTTATATAATTATTGATAACATAAACAACAAAACATCTCTACTTTGTCCATCTAATACACACAAAAAGCGTATTAGCACAAGAAGTTAGAATGGGACCATTCCCATAATCAAGATCAAATTATATATAATCTTGTTCTTCAATCATCAAGATGTTTGTCCAACTTCATCTCTGATTGTGAACATTAATTTATTACTTATAAGGACGAACAATTTTAATCTTTCGTGTATGAGCTAAATAACTCCATACTCTAAATCGTCTCTTTTGCATAAGAAGAGGATATATTAGAATACTGATCTATTCAAATAAAATTTTATTAAATTGAGTAAATAAAATAAACAGTCTTTACATGGGATGAAAACATAATACTACAACTTAAACTACATGGTTAATAGTATATCTTAACCTGCTATCTTGCAACACTTTTCAAGGATTATTCTACCATTCTAACTCCTTAGGTTTGCAATTCTCGTGCACGTTATATCAGACACAAATTTTCAAGTTCAGTCGTCTATATTTGATATTATGTTCAAAGTGAGTAAATTTAATTTTTAAAAAAAAAGATTAACATCGGAGTATCAAAAAAGGATATTTGCGCATTTCACCCATTAAATTCACAGAGGTGTAAACATGCATCACTTTTAGAGTCGGTTTAGATACATAATTTGGACTCGGTTTCGATAATAATTTTCAAATTGTGTCATGAATCGATAACGTCACATCCCTAGAGAAAAAAAGAACATATCTTCCGTGATCTTTTCACTAACATGCTCACACTAGATGTCTCCTTGATTTAGTGCAAATGGGGTCTTAATGTTCTCATTTTGGGTACGAGAATAGTAAAAGCTAAGTGGACACGATTGATTTCCTTCAACTACTTCGTATTACTCAGTTTCCCACCTTACATTGGTTTTAGGTATCTCACTTTTCTCCATATTACTATTTGAGTATCTGATTATACATATGCTATTATTCAAGATTGAATTATGTTGGTACATCTAGGGTAGCTTGGAAGAAAAATTGCACCTATTCAGCCAATCAATTTTTCTTTGTCAATAACTTCTCCGACCATTTGTAGAAGTTATAAGAGGAAATTAAAGATTCGTGAAAAGTCTATAATATTTGACTCACCTCATTTTTAACAAGCACACTATACGTAAACGATTTTCAAAAGAGTTAAATGATGATTCAATTAGGAAAACAAATCCAAACAGACTTATGTAACAAGAAAATAGAAAATTTGACTAAATTTTGTGCCAGCATATTTCAAGATTTAGAAATATGTACAACATATACATCGTCAAAAGAAACTAAGTAAGCTTCCACCAAATATCTTCACAAGCAGTCTCTATCTCTGTAGAAAATTTCACTTTCTATTTAAATGTTATATCCACCGCATTTTTGACACCAGACAATATTTACATCTTTGACTATCGATTTTTCATAATGTTTTCTAACACTTCACGAAATCATATTGTTTAGTTTAAATTGTACATGTCAATCTTTTGTATAATGAATTAAGAAAATATTCACATAAATTGAATCTTGAAAATACTTTTCTCTAGCTATTTGATTAGAAATTTGCATGAGCAGTAGTTTGAAGATAATGAGATGAAAATGACCATTAATGACTAGGCTTATTTAACAATTATTTTAGCTTAAAAAGCACTTCAAACAAATGTTTAACGTTTATTTTTAAACTAAACTAACAAAAATAAGTCATTTTGACTTTATAAACGAAAAACCACAAGCCCATTCAAACAGGCTCGAAATAGTATGTCCATTGCATGTGCTTTTGCTTTCAAGTTGCAACTATTTTTGCCCTCTCCTTTCTAATTCTACTTCCCATTTTTCTTATATATTGAATAGTTAATCACCTCGAGTTTCACAAGGTTTTTTCCTTTTAAGTATGTTGACACTGTGATTTCTAACCCACACCCTTTCAGATCTGTATCAATCAACCAAACAAAAAGGAAAATAAAGAAAGCACTCTATATGTTGTTTAGCAAAAGTATCATTGGTGACGTTTAGAATATGTCTCGACTATATTGCCCAACTCCTATAAATAGTCGCACAATCTTTTGGGTGGATCCATAGTGTTTGTATGTGGATTCACAACAACCTAATAATTTTTATTTAAATTATGTATATATATTAAAATATTTATTTTATTCATGTTAATTTGATATTTTCTTAGAGAAAATATTTATTAGCGATTTATTTTATTTATTAATTTTACTTTGAAGCTAAATTTCACTACTATTATTACTTTATGTAGTTATTCAACTAAGAGAGTAGTATTAAAATAAATCTTAATTTAATTTAAAATATGAACAAGTAAAAAAGAGAATCTTTTTTATTTAGTTTTAGGACCAAGTACAAAGAATAGAGGGATTATATATATTTATTAAAATTACTATTGAAATTCATCGTCTTTAAATTACGGATCACATGAATCTTTTAATTTCTTGTCCAAGACTCAAAATTAATAAAAACAAGGAAGATGTAAGAAATATTTGTTACCACCAAAGATGTGGAGCCAATGGGTCATTTCCTCCCTTAATCAGAAATTTTAATTTCGAGGTTTTGCTATGGAAATTTTTTTTTGATAAGGAACACTATTTCCAAATAAGTCTTATCCCGAGACAAAAAATTAAATTAATTGGCTTCAGCGTGAATATCGAACGTCAAAAAAGTAAAGCTGTTGGATAAGCCGACGAGGTCAGCAATGCAAAAATGCATGAAACACAAAGTGAGGGAATACGGAAAGCCAAAAGTAAATTAGAAGAAAAGGGCCCAACCGGGTTCGAACCACATTGACCTCTTGATCTGCGGTCGTACTCTACCACTGAGCTATGGACCCGTTGTTGTGCTTCAGCAGCAAGTTTAACATAATTGCTGATTTCAACGCATGACACCAAATAAAAGTATTTATTTGGACTTATTTCTATCCAATATATGGTTATTTTGTATACTTAAGAATATGAGTTGGTATAAAAATTTGAACATGGAGGTATAAATGGTAATTAAGCCAATTATGTTAGTGTTAGTGGGTAGGGAAGAGTGTGCAAAATTCTTAGCCTTGTTTCCTTGTCAGTATATTTAGCATAGATACATGCAGCGTACTTTTCGGCAAGGATATACATCGGACCACACTTGGATGGCTCTGCTCCATCTCACTCACTGCCAAGGATGTTGATGTAGCACAAACATACCGGAGATATTCTAATTAATGTTACACGTAGAGAGATTGGAAGACACAATTACTAGTCTTATGAACTTCGCAAGTACGGTCTGCAAGATGCCAAATCTCCAAGTTTTAAAGCTTGGTCCATATATATTTGTAGCTATAAAACATGAAAATACTATAAATCAATAAAATGGGACGTAGGAAAAGAATAATAAATGTTTGTTTTTGGTTGAACTTGAAGAACAGAAGATGTTAGGCTATATATAAGCGAAATTCTAATATACCATGAGAATATTTTGTGAAATTAAGGCTCAATACCTGTTTTATTCCAATTTATAATGTGGGAATATCACACCACTTAACCAGGATAAGTAATGTGTCCGTAGGAATTGGACTCGCACGAGGAAAAGCACTCGTGGTAGTACTATCCATATATAATCTAATACGCCCCTAGAATTGCCACATTCAAGTGGAACTATATTGAATTTTCTTCCCTCAAAAATTACACGTTATATACAGGTGAAGGTGAAAGTTCTTTATGTGTGTATGTATATATATATATAAAAAGAAAAAATCATTGAATCAGTTAGACACAAAAAACATTTTCTTAAATTCCCTTGATGAAGTTTCTGCATTTGTTCTAATCATAGTCACAATTGCCTGTTTAGTCAAGCACTTTTTTTTTAAAATAAAACGGAAACAAATCAATGGAATAATTGAAAGTACTGATATTACTTTGCTAATACAAAGTTTTCAATTTCACTGTAACAGTTTGATTTTTTAGGATCAATTTTTTCATGTTATATTTATTTTCTATAACAACGTTCTAACATAATGGCGCTGTTCGGTATATAATATATTTTTATAAAATTATCTCTCTATATGATTATCTTCCAAATATTGTCTGATAATATTTTTATAAAATATCTTATAAAAGTAAATATTGAAATATTTGTATTCTTTGAATTAATAATAAATGCGCACTTAGTAAATTCTAAATACGAATATCTAAAAAAGAAATTTTTTGTTAAAATATTTGTCCACGTGGCATCACAAGAAAAGACTATGATATTTGGCTTTACCTTCATACTCTTTCTATTTTTATTTTTTTTTTTACTTAATTTTATTTTTGTTAAAATATCAAAAAAGAAAAGTGACTAGTAGTAGAAAAGGCAGAATCGTGACATTCCACTGATTTTCTCTCTGTACTACTAGTATACTAGTATATATGGTGTATATTAGACTATTTATATAGTACTTCACAGTTCTCACCCTTACTCGTGGACTGTACGTTAAGATGAGGAGAAAGTGGCACCCTGAGTACCCCACGCATCTAATTAATATTAAATGGCCATGATTTTATTAATTGGTACAAAAATATTCTTTTCATACTTATTTAGCTATAAGTGATACTAAATGACTCAAAAGCTAAGTAAAAATAGAAACTTTAAAGTTGTATTTATCAACTTTACACTTTTATATATTAATAAGTAAAGTAAAAATAGAAATTTTCTCCTTCCTTCTCTTAGAACCTTTCTCCTTTTTTTTTTCTTTCTAAAATATCTTTATTAGAACTTTATTATAACAGTGAAACATTATCCAAGGTAAATTGAATTTCAACATATATAAAGTATTTTTAGTTGTTTGTGTTTTTTCACCAAAAAATTAGGGATTGTGGTCGTTTGGAATATACGGTCTATATTAAATTTTTGACTTTTGTGTTGTATATTCAATAGAAAAAGATAAGTTCTTCAAAACTTGTTGATGAATGGGGTAATGACTTTAATTTTCAGATTCTCCACCTGCAAGCAAAGATATGCATTCAAGTTGGTAAAATTAAATTTCACTTTATGCAAGATCATCTCCGTATTCAAGTCGAAGCAAAAATTCTATTGTGATTCAATAAATCCAAGAAAGAAAAAATAAATTGCTTTCAATGCTGTTACCCATCTGAAATCTATTAGTTGTTTGTTGTTAGTAATCACTTTGATTCCACGAATTAATTTTTATTTTTGTTTAACGTGTTTAAAGTGTGTTTTTGAAAATCTGGATAGTTAAAAAGCAGATGTTACTTTTCTTGTTGGATTATCTAATAAATGGTATGTTGGCTTGTTTTCTCTTTTTTTGTTGTTATTTATGCTGTTGATGTGATTTCAATAGCTAGTTGCAAATTCTTGATTAATGAAAACTTTAACATATAATGTATTCATAGAATGACATGTTGTCATTATTGATACAAACATTTTTATACATTATCCATATTCCTTAAATGATTATTTTATAGCTTCGATGTACACATGTTGACAATTGGCAGCGGTATACATTTACTGTATATAATATATCATATCGAAACGAGATAATATTCAATTTTATTTAATTGGAAGCAAGATGTATATAAATTGATTCTTTTGTATATAAATCTGGTTATACTATAAACAAGCAATATTACGACTTGTCATTATTTATATGACTTATGGATACATTTACAAATTCTTTAAATGGTTGTCTTGTTGATTCAATATATTCATGTTGCTAACTATAAGGGTATATATTCACAAGCAAAAGCAATGTATATTTCGAATCAAGTTATTACATTATATATCAACTAATACATATATCAATTATCATGTATACATACATATTTATTCATAAGTATACATTCACTAAATATAATGTATCGTATCAGAACATGCAATATTCAATGTTATTTAGTTGAAGGCATGATGTATATAGAACTGGTTATTTTATACACAAATCTGGATATACTATAAGCAAGCAATATTCAACTTATTATTATGTATACAGACATGTGTATACATTTTCAAAATCCTTTAAATGATTGTATTATTAATTCAATGAATTCATGTTGCTATGACAACGTATGCGTGCGTCCATACATACATACACACACACACACACATATATGTTAATTATATTTGCAATTTTCTTTATGTATACATACATATTTACACAAAAACTAAAATATTCTTCATGTATATTGTTTTTATGGTATTGTATGCAACACTTTCTTTTTTTTCTCCAAGAAGTAAAAAAAAATTGCCGTTAAAATTCTTATGTATACAATTTAAATTAGGTTGAAATTTTAAATCTCAAATTTTGTTGCCTAATAAAATGCGATAATACGGTTATTGCTATTAAAGCGTTGTTTTTAACAATTTCGGCTACTATACGTAATAATTTTAGGTTAAGAATTTGCTAGTATTTTTGGATTATAAAATTGTCAATTCTACGTAGAATTTATACCTACATATCAATTTCTCAAACATGAGCCATGATCACCTGCACCTTATGTGGGCATGTTGGGTTGTTATTCTCCATCTAGGGATCAATTTTATGGTCTTTTATTGTAAACTCCGTGAAGGTGTTGGTTGAGAAAGAGCCAAATCTGGTTTTACTCACTTTTAAAAATTCATGATTGGTACCTGGTGTCTTAATTTGACCGAAGCTTGACCATCATAGTATTCTACTATGTTCTCATTCAAATAAAAATGGGAGAAATTGTTTTCTAACCCTTTATAAATTCTTTTTAGTTTTATGACCTTTTTGTATGGGATCTTTATTTTGACACACAGATATCATCATTTTTCATGTATAAGAGATACGAAAAGTAGATTTCTTGTATTATTTATAAAAGTCGAAGATGCATTTATCGTAAAAATGTGTGGTTAAATGCAATTCTTTAAAAAATAAAATATTTTTAATATTTTTAATTTTTGAATATTTTTTAACATTTTAAAATTTTATATAAATGTATTTATGCACTTTCTTATCATTATACAATATATGCATAGTAGGAATACATAAGAGAAATTCAAATTGTAGATTATTTATGAAACCTCTAAGCGAAGATAATCACTGCATAGAAGGAATGACTAAATAAGAATATATGTGTCGAGAGAAAAAAATGAAACCAAAAGCATAAAGTGAGATTTCTAGCCCGTTGTCTGGTTATGCAAAAATGATCCTACGTTTGTACCGCGGACCAGAAGTTTCAAAGAAACTTTCTTAATTATTCAAGCTGTGACAATTAGTAATCCTTTATATAGTTACTCGTAGCTCTTTAGATAACTATCAAATATTTTATGTCTCATTATGAAAATATTAGCAACCCTTTCTTTATATGGTACAACGAGACATCCGATGTTATGGAAGCACCTTATAAAGATACTACTCCTCGAGATATGCCCTTTTCTATTATTAATAAATTAAATTATACATAATTAAGGCCAATACCTACGAAATAAAGATAATATAAATAAGAAATTTGTGATATAAATATTAACTGATCATGTAGTAGCATCACCAACAAGTCCAACATATTATTTTATATAGTATCCATGACATAATATCTATCTATGGAGATTTTATGAAAGAATAAACTACGTCGAGATGTAGTTCGAGAACTAATAAAGAAACCGGTAAAGATAGCCAACGGAGTTTCATGAGCAGAACGTGGGCTCACCAAGTAGCCTAATTGCAGCAAGTACTCTGTCGTTAAGATTCTCTCATACTTGCATTTTCCTTATAATATGACACACCATCAAAAATAATAATTACGCTTGGTATTGAGTGCTCGGTGAGGTGTAGGCAAGAATTAACGTAATAAATTAAATATCTACCCTCTATTTCAATTTAACTTTGTCTTACTTTCT